GAATGCTTGGTTTTCAAAAATGATGTTCTCATCTTTCCTAGAACTTTTGAAGAGCACCTGAAGAGGTTGCAGGCTGTGTTTGGTAAGATTGAGGCCCATTGTCTCAAGCTGAAACCGTCCAAGTGTGAGTTGTTTAAGACTTCAGTCACATATCTTGGTCATGTGGTTTCAGAACAGGGTATTAGTACTGACCCAGATAAGACCAAGGCAGTGAATGACTGGCCTGAGCCCAAAAACCTTAAGGAACTCCGCCAGTTCCTCGGGTTCACAGGTTACTACCGACGGTTTGTGAAAGACTACTCCAAGATAGTTGAGCCACTCAATGCACTGTTGAGGGGGCACGGTGTCCCAGGTAAAATACAAACCGGTAGAAAAAAGAAAGTTGCACCTGCAAAGTGGAAATGGGGTGAAACCCAACAGACTGCCTTTGACAGAGTCAAAGAGAAGCTTGTTAGTCCTCCGATTCTGGGATATGCAGATTATTCCAAGCCATTCGTGGTGCACACTGATGCCAGTGGAGACGGTTTGGGTAGTGTCATTTATCAGGAGCAGGAAGGCCAGGGTCATAGCGTATGCGAGTAGGGGGCTTCGACCTAGTGAAAGAAACTATCCAGCTCATAAGTTGGAGTTTCTGGCTTTAAAATGGTCGGTCACTGATAAATTTCATGACTACCTCTATGGTACCAAATTTCAGGTGATCACCGATAATAATCCATTAACTTATGTCCTTACCAAGGCCAAGTTAGATGCCACAAGCCATCGCTGGATAGCTGCCTTAGCTAGTTATGACTTCACAATATCATATCGCCCAGAGAAGAACAATGGTGACGCAGACGGGTTATCCCGCTGTCCCCAGGTTTTTTCAGACACGGTCAAGGCCATTTGCCAGGCTGCCACAGTTTCAGTGCCACTCGCTGACTCAATAACATGGGGTCCAGCCTCTCTTTCGGCCAGAGATGAGGCTGGTAGCAATGTAGATGAGATCAGTAAAGTAGATTGGGCTTTGGAACAGAGTAAGGATCCAGTGATTGGGAGGCTTGTACACCTCTACAGTAGGAAGCCTTTTCCAGGTGGAGAAGAGCTGAAGGATAAGCTTCCGAAGGTGCGAAGGTATCTTAGGGAGAAAGGGCGCATTTCCTTTGTAAACAGGGTCTTTTACAGAACTACTACTGTAGATGGTGAACGGGTGAAACAATTACTGTTGCCTGAAGCACACAGGGCCCAGGGGCTGAAGGGTGTTCATGAGGATGTGGGACACCAGGGCAAAGAGAAAACTCTGTGGCTAGCTAGGCGGAGATTCTATTGGCCAGGCCTGGAAAAAGATATTTGTCACAAGGTAGAGCAGTGTGGTAGATGCATTAAGAGGAAAACCCCTGTGAAGCCGGTGGCTGGGTTAGTCCCCATCGAAACCACTAAGCCACTAGAGTTGCTGTGTGTTGATTTTTTAAGTTTAGAAAAGTCAAAGGGTGGTTACGAAAACATCCTAGTAATCACTGATCACTTCACACGATATGCACAAGCAATCCCATGCCGCAACCAAACTGCCTCCACAACAGCAAAAGCCTTATATGAACACTTCATCGTTCATTATAGTTTCCCTGAGAAATTGCTGTCTGACCAGGGCAGGAATTTCTGTAGCAAAATCATAAGGGAACTATGTAAGATTGCTGGGGTTAAAAAGGTTCGAACCACTCCTTACCATCCCATGGGCAATGGCTCGGTAGAGCGGTTTAACCAAACTCTCCCCAAAATGCTGGCTACCTTGGAAGACGAACAAAAGTCTGACTGGAAGAGCTATGATTCACCACCGGTTCAGGCCTACAATGCCACCAAAAGTGATGCGACTGGATACTCTCCCCACTATTTAATGTTTGGTTGGCATCCGAGGTTGTCCGTTGATGCATTCCTGGGTATCAGTGACCCACAGGGGAATCAATCCGGCAACCATGAGACATATGTCCAACGGTTGAGGCAGAGGCTGGAGTATGCTTATAGGTCAGCAGCTCGAGAATCTGGTAAGCAAGTGGGGCAAAATAAGGCTGCTTACGACGCTCGGGTACGAGAGACAAAACTCAGCGTGGGTGATCGAGTATTGGTGAGAAAGGTAGGATTCCAGGGTAGACATAAGCTCGCAGATAGATGGGAACAGGATCCCTATATGGTGGTCTCAGCAGAGGTAGACGGGTTACCTGTGTATAAAGTGCAGAGGGGAAAATGGTGTCGGTTCCGTGCACACACTCCATAGGAACATGCTGTTGTTATTTACAACAATTCCACCTGACTGGGCTGAAAATGAAGCTCTGGCGAATCACAACATTCGCCGAAATCAGGTCAGTAGGGTAAAGTCCCAAGCGGAACAGAGTTCCAGCTCCAAGACGGAGACGGACGATTCAATCACGGTCAGTGACAGGTATGTCATTCCTTATAAGAGGAAACCAAGAGGGGGAGTCTTCCTTACTCCGGATAGGATCCCTGGACCTGTTAGGAGTCCTAATCCGCCCCGGGTTTCCATAGAAAACGGCCCAACACCATCAGAGCTATCTTCCCCTGTTCCATATAGGGTGCCATCCCCAGAGGTTTCCATGGAAAAAGAACCTCTGACACCAGGTTCCTTGGAAAACCCTGATAAGTCTGAAACACAAGATGCTCCACCAGCAGTGAATAGGGAGGATTACGGATCCGATAAGGAAGCTGCTAGTCCAGCAGGAGTCCGACGTTCGGACAGGACACGAAATCCCCCAGACTGGTATGGAGCATGGGTCAAGTCTCAATTAGTCCCCAAACATTTTGACGAGACATTTTGAACAGTTAGGTTTTATTGTAGAGTAGTGAGTGGTTTATTGAGTAAAATGGTCAGATTGATTTTAATAGACCTACGTTGTAAGGTAAAAGTAGGTACATGGAGCACTTATAGGAACCATATTGTGACCATTGTGAAATGGTCGTAGTAGACAGGTAGCTGTAGTATAAAGGTGATCAGAAGCGTGGTATTCTGATGTGATATACACCATACCCAGTGGTTCATTTTAAACAGGTGTTCTGAGTACATAGGTTTTCATTATTCACAGGTTGACTTCGTAGGGAGGTTTTATCCATAAAGGGGTGACATTGTGGAAAGGCAGTCCTTATGCAAGGGGTTCTGTGTACAAGTCGCAAGACAAAATGAATGTTGAACCTTGGTATGATATCTATAAAAGATAGGTTGGATTAGGTATCTGATCATGTTGGAGTAAGTTACAGCATTTTTAAACAAGTGATCCTATCATGGGTTAAGTTATAGTTTGTTTATATTATGTGAGTTTAAAGTTTATACAGCAGTCTTATTGAGATAAGCGGAAGTTGATATGATCTATTTATTAATGACTCCTTGTAGTGGCTGTGGGAATATAAGGTCTTTGGATGTCCGTGTTAACTGGCTTTAAGATAAGTTATTGCTTGATTACTTGCATCATGTCAATTACTGATGAGCCCTATATATATACCAAAGCCCATTCCATTACATAGAGAGATGAAATATCTTTATCAGTATTATTGTATAGCACAACAAGTGTTATGCGACTGTCTGGAAATTTATTAATTGCGGTTTTATCGATTATTTCTACAGGTTCTGAAGATGAATTTTCCTGTTGAATAATTACTGGTGATTTCTTTGTTTATTTCTTTATTTTGCAGCAAATTGATAATTACATTTTATTACATAGTAGTTGGATGAGCTGATGTTTACCTGCTTACGTTAAAGGGGCTGGTCGGGGAAAAAAATGTCATATTTGCTAAGATGGCATACACATGTTTGAAATACCTTCTTATGAAATATACCGATTCAAATTTTGCTGAAATTCACTCCCTAAGAGTAAATTTTGTAATTATATTAAAGAAATCCTAAATGGTCACCTGACAGTCTAAAACTCTCAATTGACCGAGATCAGTGATGTAATTTTACCGCACGCGCGTCATCAACAAGGCCAAATGCAAACATCACGGAGAAAGAAAAAGATTCATGCAAAAGTCATGACAGGCACGAGGTATCAATACCGTTATATATAACAACATATAGGTAGGAATACTACACTTGCATCATACATGACCTTTGAAAACAATTATTTACGTATAGTATTGCTGTCTTGTCCGCTAGTTGAGTCCGACATGGCACATGACGGCATGCTATTGTTGTTATATTCACTGCCTCACTTTCGAAACAACCACGTGACATATTATAAATAGATCTGCGCTAAATTTATGCGGGGCTTCCCCGAGATTTCAGTGGTCAAAACCGGACATTGCAAGCAGAACTCGACCATCATATTGCCATGGTATAACTTTTGGAAGGCCAGAGAACGCATTTAGACCCATTTATTTTGTAATGTTTTCCCCGACCAGCCCCTTTAATGAAATATGGGACATATTTCAAATAAGGGGGGGTATGTGTAGACCAGGCTCACATACCTGTTATACCTGTGAGTGTTATTGTGTGTGTGAAGGTAGTGTGTATGCGGTAGCGTGAGTGCAACTCACGTGAGTAGTGTGTCGTGAGTGTTGGTCAGACTGACCATTGACAAACAGACTGTGTGACTTACCACAGACCTTACCCATCACTCCCTACGATCCGCCCTTTATCCTTTCCTGGTATGCCGCCACCAGCCACTCAACGCTGGAACTAGCGATGGTTCAGACGTATTGCGACATCTAAGATTTCTTACTACATGTTAATGTGGAGTGCGGGCAGTGTCTGCGAATACACCGCTCCGGTCGGGAAGCCTGGTAAGTGCATACATGTGTGAAAGGATTGTACTTTCGTTTTCGTTTATAGTTCGTTTCGTAATTGTTGTGCGTAATTGATATTTATTGGTTGTAAGTGTGTGTCTTATATGTTGTAGGTTTTTTTACCTGTGTCATAATAAAGTTTTGGAAGAACTCACGTGTTGAAGTCTTCAGATAACCACCCCGGCTTACATAAATATAATTCAAAACTGACATCCCGATAGACTATTTCTTTCACTTACAAAATAGATTTCAGAAACGGTGGCTTTGACCCAAAGTATTGGAAGTTCGATGAAAAGTCGCACTGTTTACAAATAAATGTCTTCACTTTCTCTTCATCATCAATAGAAACACCCGCCATTGATCAATTTCAAACATCCAAATGACAGAGACTTGGGGTCATTCTGAGTCGTATCAAGTCGTTCCGGCAACAGTGTCTAACAGCTGAGCTGCCCTCACTGGAACCGGGGCTGACGGGGACCGTCGCTGACCAGGACCGTTACACATTGTGTCGTTTCCATACACTTGTTTTAGCAAAAGTCTGCCATGATTTGTATCAATATGTGACTAATGTTTAGCATTGGAAGTATCAGCATCAAATTATCAAGACGAAGTGATTATGATCATTGTTTTTAATACAAAAAGTGTAGCAGAACTCATAATGCGGTGTAGGAATATAGCAGTTACCTCCCTTTGATCATTTAACAACGAAAATACACGGTCCTGAGCGGGGACATCCTTATCAGGAAATCAAATGTTTAACATATACATTGTGAATCTTCTCATTAGTTAAGTCAGCAGAAATGAATCGGTCAAGCGATGTGTCATAATGATTTTTAAATAAAAATAAGCAACATGAACGACGAAATACTAAATATATACATCAAATAATATACACGGTCCTATGCGGGGACATCCTGATCAGGTAATCAAATGTTAGTTATATCCGTTATATCACATTAATAAATATAGCAATGAATACGGTCAAAAGAGAAGTCATAATGACTTTTGAATGCAAAAAGTGGCATAAAAAACCCGACGAATTACTTTATATATACATCTTATAGCATACAAGGTCCCGAGCGTGGGTATCCTGATCATGAAATCAAATGTGAAATATATCCGTTCATTTTTCGTCACATAAGTTAAGTTAGGGATGAACACGGTTAAAAGATGTGTCATAATGATTTTCAAAAAAGAAAGATGCAACTCGAACTACAAAATACTGCATGTATACATCTTACAAAAAACACGTCCCTGAGCGGGCATCCTGATCAGGAAATCAAA